ACTTCATCTGATGCTGAACTTGCTGCATTTTTGAGGGAGAGAAGTCTTTTTGGATATACTATAAGACAGTGCTCTACTACATATAAGATATTGAGTAAGTTTGACTGTAGACAATGTTTGCCTTACATTATACTTATATTACATTACACTTAAAAAACACACACACCCAAAACCCTAAGCATCCACATTATGGAACTTCACTGCCTATTAATTTTTTTAAAAGAAGAAAAAGACTGAGAACCTTGAGATATAAATTTTGGTCTCAGTGTGACCTTGGCCAATGAATTGCCCTTCCCTAGGCTTTGATCATAATGATGGCAGAGTTGAACTATGATTTTTGAGGTCTTAGATGCATATATGTGAGGACTACATTGGCCTTAGAGACCATCTTGTTCAAGCCCTTCCTTGTATTTGAGAGAGGAGGAAACAGAGTTCCCTGTAGAAGTAGTCACTTACCTAAGGTTTACCTTGTTAGTAGAAAATGGCCACAAGAATCCAGGCCTACTGACTCCCTGGCCAGTATTTGTGCTCTGCCCCTCGCCTACAGCATTAACCAGCTGTGATTTGTACGCCTCATCTGTGAGCTTCAGGAATCCACACATTGCAGACACACTCCAAGGATGCAGATGCTGTCGTGCAGATGTGTATGTGCCTTGAAGACCAAGGACTGAGGGAAATCAGGTCGGAGAGAGGAATTTTCATAAAATGAGAGCATCTGGACCACAGCTTTGTGGTCTTGCTCTTCTTTAGCTGATGTGCAGTGTCAGCAGTGTGGTCATCATCACTCTGATGGGCCAGGGTAGGAAGGGTGGTCTGTGAGCTTGGGCTGGGCTGAAAAGGGTTCCTGTGAACTGGAAGGTTCTTTGAACCCACTTCAAAGTCTGCCAAGGGAATTTACTCACAGAGTGATAAAGCCTCAAAACAGAGGATATTATATGAGCATCTAACATTCCTGGATAGAAACCACCAACTGGAAATCAGTGATTAAAACTGCTTAGAAAAGGGCAGCAGTGGCATGATATGTTTACAGGCTTTCTTTAAATGACATGTCACTAAGGCATCTCCAGCAGACTGTAGGCTCTTATTGGAGTGCTTATGGCCCTGGAACCTTGAGAACTGGCTGTTGTAACATAGTATTACCGGTTTCTGGCCTTATTCTAACCAGGAAAATGAAGGTTTGGTGGGGTCATCTGGAAAGTTTTGGCAAGAAGGATTAGGATTAGAATTCTGGAATTTAAGGGACTTTAGTGATCATCTCATTTCAACCCCTCATGGAACAGGAAAAAAGCAGAATTTTGTAGAGGGGTGTTGACTTATCCAGGGGTGGTGTGGCATGCTCGTACTTCATTCAGATGGAAAAGGAAGAGCTTCTCTCTCATTTGAAGCCAGGAAAGACACATATTTTGGGGATGGGGGGCAACTAGAAAAAGTGAACGGGTTTCAACTACATGTGGAAGGCTCTGGTTTTGTGAGTTCAGAGGCCAGAGTACTAGTCTTGTCCCTGAATTCTGAGTTTCAGTCCCCTCTTCTGTCCAACTGAAACTTAAACAACAGTCAAGATATAACTCCTGAAATGTGTGACCTTCAAGGGGATCAAGGAGGATGAGTGGGCAGAGTGAGCTCACTCTGCCACCTTCAACCTGAAGTGAGCAGCCCCACTTCAGTTTTCTCTACCGGGCCCACTAGAAGATTTCTTAGAAGAAAATGTTCACTGGGGAGATGATATTTGAAAAACAACACTAACAAGCAACAGCATGGGACTAGGTGAGTCTCCAGAGGGCCTCAGCAGCCTGACGCTCTGTGAGTTCTTAATTCTAGGAGGGGAACTCTGCCGGGCATGTGTGGCCAAGGGCACAGGGCTTGTCTCCATGCGAGCACCAGTTGACAGCTGACTAAGGCACAGTGTCCTGCAAAGGAAGGCCTGCTCAGGCCTCATGGCTGCTGGACCTCTGCAGGGAGGCTAATGCTAATGCTGGGTTGGTATCCTAGAACTGAGTCACCTGGGCAAGCACAAGGGAGAAAGGCATCTTGCCCTCCCTGCCCAATGTGTTAATCCCTTCCTCCAAAGATTTTGGGGAACTGTGTCTGGATCAGAGATACATGGACTGTAAGGTACTTCAGGTAGGCTGCTCAGTCTCTGAATTGCCTCAAGCACACTGCTCTTCTGGTGAGAAGTCTAATTTTGGAGCAGAGTGTTACAAGATTTTCTTGTCCACTCCCAATCATTTGGGAATTAATGGCAGATAAGAGAGAACAGGCATTTCCTGAAACCTAGGCAAGAACCCAAGACCATGTTGCCCTTCCAGAAGGTCTAGTTCCATCTCCTTGGGCTTTCAGGAAGGTGTCTCACCTCCCTGGATAGAAACTATCAATCAATTTCCAAAATATTCTCCAGCCAGAAAGGTCAAACTTTAGGTAGAAATGTATTCCAGTGTCCTTAATTCAGTGTCAGACAAGGTCTTCAGATTCTATTGTTGCCCTTGAATAGCACCTTGTCATTTTTTTCCCACTATGAAATGCAGCTGATGTCAGATCCTTAATCTGCTTTGCCAGGAATTTATTTGGGGCAAAGGAATAAGTTAAATTCTTTATTGTGTGTTTATCATCTTGATTAAGGAGTCCTAACAAGGTCAAGCCTGGCATCTGTCTGAATAAGAGGAAAACTTGTGGGAAATTACTGCTCAATGCATATAAACTGAGAGTCAATTCTAGGGGTGGAGAGGGGGGAATGAGGAAAATAAGCCATTGTTGCAGCTAAAGAAAGAAATTCTGTAATTTTTGTGGTTGTGAGGCTTCAGCTACCAATAAAAGTAAATGTTTTCACTGACAGAATTTCTATATAGTTGACATATTTGAAAGTAGAGAAAAAAGCAGTTAGGAAGTTCATATCTAGCCTTTTCTAAATCTATAGAGCATACTGTCTCATTAAGCCAATGTTTGGTTATTTTCCTTCTGGTTAAGTCCACTTTCTAACCCAAATATTCAAGAATGTCTTAGTTTTATGACCAATATTAGTTGGGGAATTGAGCTGGAGGATTCTGCTAACCTAATGCCTCCCAACCATAATCTATCTTCTTCTGAAGTTTGGTTCTGGCAGAGGCTAGATTATATCCTGAAAGACATAATTGACCTGTTTGTCAGAAATTTCAATTTAGGATGATGGGCACTTAGGGTTTTGGTCTCTGATCCTTGCTTGATCATTGTGACACTGAGAGGCTGGCTCCATTTGTCAGTCTTTTATTGTCATTACTCTTTTCTATCTTGTGCAATTGCTATTTTCTGGGCTCAACTTTCTTTGTAAGGGACCAGATCTGTTGTATACCTAAATTCTCATAGTCCTTAGCACAAAACATTCAAATACGGGAAACATCCCAAAGATCAGTGGTTCTCAAATGAGGAGATTTTGCCTCTCTGAGGATATTGGCAACATCTGGAGACATTTTTGGTTGTCACAACTGGAGGGGGAAGTGCTATTGGCATCTAGTGAGTACAAGCCAGGCATGCTGCTAAAAATCCTATCATTCTCAAAACAGCTTTCCTCAGGAAAGAATGATCTGGCTCAGAATATCAATAGCACTGAAATTGAGAAACTTTGCCATGGACTACCAATTTTGGAAGGTTTTTTAAGTCACAGAAACCTTGATACAAGTGAGATTTTTGAAGCAGACCCAATATAAATAATAAACAACATCTAGCAATTAAATGAATTTAAGCAGAGTAGGCGTTCACAGCCCCATTTATCAGGCCTCCCTTGCCTCCAGTTGCCTTGTAAGCCCCTGCAGTATCCTGGGGCTCAGTGGAGCACAGCTTGTATAGCCAAAAAAGCATGGGATTTACAGTCACAAAACATGAGTTTAGAACCTTGATTCACCACTTACTAGCTACACAACCTTGGATGAGCTGCTTTACCTTCCTGGGTTTGTCTCTTGGCCTGTTGAATGGGATAGTAGTACCTGTCTTGTAGGATTGTTTTTAAGGTTGAGTAAGATCATAGATGTAAAAGCACCTTGCAGGCTTACTACTTTGTTGTTGATCAAAAATCCTGGTTAACACAAGGTTAACTCTTGTTGAATTACTGGCTATGGAAGAGTTAGACTCCAATAATCCTAACAATATGCAAAGTCTACTTTGGAGTAGTTTGATGAGAATCCCTTCCAGAAAGCCAGAGAAAATTTAGAGAGAAGGCTCTCATCTTTTTGAACCAGACACAACCTTAATAGACGCAATCTCTCAGAAGTACTCCAATCATATTTTTTCATTCAAATTAAAAGAAGAGCAAACTTCTCTAACCTTTCTTAGACCTGCTTTTAAAGAGCAGCTTCCCACCCATGGCCTTGTTTGTGGGTTCTCTCTAAATTCCATGGAATATGGTGTTGATTATTTCCTGTCCCATTTCCATGTGATTTTTCTTTATATTCCCTTCTGATAGTGACTCCCACCTGTGCCTATACCCTTTGCTGATTAAATACATTCAAGGCCCTTCAGAATCTCTTCCTAATCCAACCTTCCAATCTCACCTCCTACTGTCAGCTACTTCCAAAACACTTGATCATTACTTAGGGAACTAGGTAGTACTTTTTAATGCCTCAGATTTGGACATAATTATGGATATGCCTCAGTCTGATTAATGCTTATGCTGGGGTCTCTGCCTTTTCTACCTTTTTGAATTAAAGGTAACCTTGGAACAGAGGTTAGTGAAAACATTAAAGACTCTGAGAACAGAAGTAAGAAGGGGAAGCTGTGTTTGGCTGAGTTGCACTTTGCCAGCCTCAGTTTTCCTCATGGTCCTTTCTAGGTTTATGTACTCAACCTGCACCTAGCATGCCACCCACATCTTCATTCATCATGTTGTAATCTTGTGTGTCTCCCTCATTGGACTGCCACCATGGGAGGGGAAGCACAGCACCTAATTCATCTAAGCTTCCCTAACTCCCAGCAGATTCTCCAGTAGAGATCCTGGCCCAGTTAAGAAAGATGGGGGGCGGGGGGAGGTGTCTCACCTTCACATAGTCATATTCACAAAGGTAGGAGGATTCCAAGTTGAAGTGCATGAAGTAAAGCTTGATCCGAAATCCTTCTGGGACAGTGATATTCCAAGTCACTTTCGAATCTCTTGGGTAGGAGTCTGGATAGCCAGGCGACTGGATCTGGCCAAACATATTGTTGAGCTCCACAGTGTGGGCCAAAGCCTTCAACAAGGAGAAGCACAGAGCATGATAAAGAGGGAGCCACCTGAAAGACATAAATAAGTCTGCTTACAACCATGGACACAAGTCCTCACCATTTAACTAAATCAGCAGCCTGGAGACCAAGTTCTCAGCATATCTCTGTCACTGACATTCTGCCATTACCTCTTCCCTGTGGGCCTTGTTTACCCAGTCTAGAATACAGAAGACAGTAACTCAGTGATTCCTAAGGTTTCCTTCAGTTGTGCTCTTCTAAAGATTTGATAATAGTATTCCACTTTCCCAGCAAGTACCACACTTGGGACTCTGACACATATAATTTTTCTGTTGAAAATGTAAATTTCATAATTAGGTAAAAGTTATCATTTCTTCAGCTCAGCTTAATTTAAGAATCATAAGCTGTTCCATTTCTAAAAAGTAAGTAATAGTAACAGTAATGTTAGGATGAGGTTTATACTCAATGATGGGATCTGCAGTACCTTAAACAAATTTAATAAAATTAATCAAGGTATGCAAAATTTTGAATTAAGAAAGAATCAGTAAATTAGTAAAAAAATTTTTCCCCCTCTTGGTAAGTGTTCTTATGAAAGGATCAAAATCCTACAATTTATTTCCAGCTGTAGGAATCAAAGTTAATGGATTGTTGAAAGAGTTGGATAAAGGGCAAGGAAAACTCAATAAAAATTACAGAACACGCCCAAAGTGACTGATGCAATAACGAGGCAGAATGTCCAAGGCTGGTTAAAACCTTAATGGTCAATATACACCACACCGGGCATCTAATAGATTGACCCCTCCCCTCCCCAAGCAAGACCTAAGGACCTTGAACTCAAACATCCCAAACCTGGCTCATCAAGTTCTCCCAGAAGTCTTATTTATTCTGCTTCCCATGTTCAATTAATTTAAAAGTTCTTGTATGGACGACTGCTATTGCATCCTAAGTGATCTTCCTGCCCCCATTTTATACCATTCAGTAATCTTCCTCTAAAGTTGATTTTCTAAAACACAGATGTAACCATGCTGCTCTACTGTGCCTGTGGAGAAAAGCATCTGCTCCTGGAATGGCTGATGAGCCCTTTTTGATCTAGTGCTGATCTGCCTGCCCAGCTTCGTCTCAGTGCCAGCCATGCTCTGGCATGTCATTCTGGGAGCACGTCATGCCCATCCATACCTCAGTCCCCTTGCATATGCCATGATCATTCCTCACCTGATTGTCTTATTTCTCCCCTGTCATCCAGCTCAAAGCTTCCCAGGCTATGGAGTACCCTTCACTTCACAGATCTCCACGGTACATGCTTCTATTAGAGCAAGTATCACACTGCACTGCTTTAGAGTCACAGCCTCTGATGTCAGATGCATTTGGGTTCAAATCCCAGTTCTTCTGCTTACTGGTGACGAAATCTTGGGTAATTAGTCTCTCTGAGTTCCAGTTTCCCCATATGTAAAATGAGGATTATAATCTCTAATTATAAGACTCACATGAGCATTCAAGATGACATATATAAAAGGCCTAGTTAGAGGATAATATATACTAGATGATGACTGAATGACTGAATGGATGAATGAATGAATGAAAATGGGGTCACAGTCTTGTATAGCCCAAAAAGTTAATGCTGGGAAATTATACCAGCATTTTAGGATTAATAGTTATATCTTTGCTAATCAGGAAGCTATTTCTCCCCAACCTTCTGTCCTAGTATACAGATGCATATATGTGTATATATGCATATACATAAATTTTTGAGTGTGTAAAGACAAGATAACTTTAAACATAAATTATCTAGCCTTTTCATATAATATTTACATAAAAGGTAAATAGGTAAGTGTAAAACGGCCTAGAAGGATATCAGCAGGGTGTTAACAGTGGTTATCACTGAAGTGGAAATATGAGTGTTTTAAATTTTATATTTGTTTATACCAAATGTCCAAATTTGTCTAGAAGGACTTGTACTTTTTTTCAATAAAAAGAAAACAATAAAATTATTTAATTTTTTTCCCCAAGGCCCTTACAATAGCAACTTGTGGGATGCAACTAAGGAAACCAAACATTTTAATCCAATTGCCAGGGTCAATATTTTTTTAAACCAATCTGTTAGAGGAAGGGCCTCTGAGGCAGAGAGAAGGGAAGGCATAAGTCCCAGTCTCTAGTGAATTCGTAGGAAAGTTGAGTCCAGAAACTCTCATTCACAGGGCCCAGGCAGCCCCACTTTCAAGGGCAGGGAGTTCTAGTTCAGTGCTGCTTAGGGAGGGGAGAGTGCTAGTCCTGAGTCAGAAGAACTAGGTTCAAGTCCAGATTTTGACTTCATTTATCTGACCCATCTTGGGGATGTCATATAAGGTTTCCGTTTCTTCATCCATTCGGTGATAATAATGACTTCCCACAGAGCTGCCCTCAGAAAAAAGGCGGGTTGGGAAGTGCTTTGTTAACTGCCCAGCCCTAGGCAAACATTAGTTATGATTACTCCATCATGCTGCTTCCCGAAAAGCAGGGGGTTTAGGAGAGAGTGTTGGCTCCCAAATCAAACTTTCCTGCAATAGCACATCCAGACTCTGCAAGGCTCAAAGGTCAACTTTCTCCATGTCTGCTTTTTCCAGAGCACATGGAGGAGCCTCTGAGCCTCCTACTGCGGGGCTGTCAAGGGCCGGCTGCTGACAGCCCAGAGGCCCAGGACCATGTGGGGTAGACAACTGGTTAGTGTGGGAGGAAGGCCTGCGAAGCTTTCTGTTCTATTTTGTTTGCATCTCAAAACAGTCGAACATATGAAACAAATATCTCCTTGCACATAATGGGCTTGAGCATATGCTTGCTTGCTTTAGGGGCTGCAAATCAGAAGATGTAAGTGGCGGCTTTCATTCCCCTTCACACTCTCTGAGTGTTTTTGGCTTCTTATACACCAGGCACCGGCTGTACAATTCCAGGCACCTGCTATCTATTTTCTAGCTAATCAAAAAAGTTGAGCTACATTTGCTCAAAATGTCAAAAGTAATGTCGAAAGCTGGGATTTCAGAGGCTCCAGTGTGGGAGCAGGCGACTGGGAATGACACAAATGCCCACGTAGATCAGTGCCTGTGCAAAGAGCAGTAGTTTCTACCCTCTCCACTCACTCCCCACATGACACCCAGACTGTTTCTGAGTGGAAGAGTTGAGAGAGGCTGTATAGATCCCTTTGACAACACCCTTATTTGACGCATGATGAAAAGGATACCCCAAGAGGTGACATGTCATAGCCAACGCCATATGGTGAATTAGCTTCAACAGAAGAGAGGAATAACTGAAGCTCTCAGAGGAAGCTGGGTCCATGCCCATATCTCCAGGCATCTAGCCAAAGCAATTAATCCTGTGGAAAATAATTCAAAAACCCACGGCTTTATGTGAAAAAAAAAAATTTTAAAGATACTAATATCATAGCCCCTCCTCAACAGATTCTAGTTTAATTGGTCTGGAGTGAGCTCTGGTCCTCGGCACTAAAGCACTGCAGATGATTCTACTGTGCAGTGAGGACTGAGCCCTGCCCATGCAGAATGTTACTTGGTGGAGTGTCTGGTAGACTATAGTAGAAAAAATCCTGGATTTGGAGCCCAAAGACCCAAGTTTAAGTCTGAGTCTTTCAAAAACCATGTGTGTCTTTGGGTAAATTGTTAAGTGCTTTTATTCTCACTTATCCATAAATCCTTACCTTATCCAAAATCTGAAGACCAGAAGAGGCAGTGCCCATAAAAGTGTTTTTGCAAACTCTAAAGCGCCCTTCTGTATGAGGCAAGACTCTGAAAACTTCTAGTGGAGCACTTTTCCAATAGTACTTGTGCTCTTTAACAACTGAATTCAATTCAGCCAATATTTATTGAATGGCTAACAGGAAACAGATATTCCCCTAGGTACTGGGCACACAGATATGAACAAGACATAGATTCTGTATCTTAAGAAACATTCAGTCTTGGAAGAGGAGGTAGACATTTAAACAAGGAAATGTTACAAAGACAAGAAGAGATGTAGCCCCAGAGGACAGAGGCAGTGCAAAGGTCGGGATGCTTAACTTTGGGGATGTTGGCTAGGGAAGAAGAGGTGATGTTTGAGTTGGCTGGAGCAAAAGGGTCCCCTCGGTAGAAAATAAAGGGAAGGGATGCTCTGGGTTAAGGAACGAGTAAAGGCAAAGACACAGAACTGTTCATCAGCCCTGCAGTTTGGTATGACTGGGGCATTTGGGTGGAGGATGGGATTCAAAGAGTGACAGATCAATCAAATTGTCATTGCATGTAGATGGCATACATTTCATCTCTTTTAGGAGAAAGAAACATGAAGTTAAATGGCAGATCTAAAATTACAATGGGTTTAAAAAGAACAGAATGATTGAATTCACCTTAAAGACCTGATTACCTCTCTGAACCACAGGTAATCTGAGTTCAAAGAGTTAACTGTCGGAAGCCCCTTATTGACCCCAGACCCAGAAAAGTTGCTAGGTGACTTTGCTAAAGAGATACAAATAGAACTCCCTTTTTTCAATTGAGAAGGAAATTAATGGGAGCAGAGGGGTTTAGGGACTTAACATCTTGCAGTGTCTTGCTTTCCCGTCTTCTTTCTTTTGGTATTCTTAACAGCATTAACACTTATAAGTAGTAAAGATAATTACGGTAGTGGGGTTTTGAGACTTGCAGAGGAAATTTACAAGGCTCAAGTAATTCTAACTATAAGCTGAGGAACAGGAAATGTTGAAGAGCATAAAAACAACTAGAATTTAAAGTCCTAGGCTCAGAACTCCAAAGGCTCCTTAAAAAATTTTTTTTTAAAATTGTGATCTCCCTGTAAGAACCATTTGGTGCAATTGGTAGCCTGATTCATGCCACCAGCTGCCTCTGATTTCAGTGAGAAATTCAGAAATTTATAGAAAACTGTAAAACAGGGATAGATTTTTAGTTTTTTAAATTGAGGTTTTTAACTGGCCAAGTTCTGAAGGTTTAAGAAACCACAGAGCTGAGCTGTGGGAAGCTGGTTTCTTTTCCGGTCAGAACAAATAAACACACAAACACATATCTAACTCACAAAGTGTTGGGAGAGATAAACCGTTGCTCTTTGCTGAGGAGGAAAGCAAAAAATGAGCCTGTGGGCAACAGGAGAAAATCACATTCTCCAGCAGGCAGCACCCTACGCGGGCAGAGGGGGAAATCTGAGCCTCAGCAGCCCTGGGCAGGATTTGCACAAAGTCTCCCGTTTCAAGTTGCATGTCTCCGGAGTCCCGGGAAGGCGCCCAGCCCACATCTCCCTCTCAGAGCCCCAAGGATTGATAAGAAACCCTTTGTACCACCCGCAGGACACAAAGGTGAGTCAGCCCAGAGGCAAGGTCAGACCCTGCAGGGCTACCTGACACCTGAAGGGACACCCCTGCCCACTCCTGCCCTGGCACTCACCTCATTTTCCTGCCTTGGGTGCTCCTGGCTGCCTGGCCTTGGTCTTCCCGGCCTGAGTTGTCTGGGAGCTCGTCCCCGATGTGGTGTCAGCGATGCCTTATCTTTGTTCTGAGGTCCCTGTGTGTCTCTGGAATTGGCTGGCATTCTCCATTCAGGTCACGCCTTCCCCTGCCTGCAACAGATCCCCTCTCCCCCTCTCTCCCTCTGCCTTTTCCTCTCTCTCTCTCTCTTTCTCTCTCTCTCTCTCTGTCTCTCTCTCTCTCCCTGCCCCCCCCTTACACACACTCTCAGAGGAACCTGACAGAACAGAATCTGTCTTCCTGAAGAGATCTTCTCCCCCAGTTCCCTCCTTTATCCTGTATGGCTGGCTCCAGTCCCTGGGAGAAAATAATTGAGAGGCTCAAATAGGTATTTGTGTCACCCTGTGTGTGAGTGTGAGTGTGAGTGTGTGTGTGTGTGTGAGTGTGTAGAGGGTGGAGGGGGACAGAGTCTAATTTCTCTTCAGTCTCCCTTGCCAGATGGCTATAGTTTTCTGCTCTTTTTCAGGACACCGGCAAAAGGACACCAACTGAACAGAAATAACAAAGTAAGAAGGCAATTCTAATGTGTACACTGGGAAAGAAAACAGATCCCAGTCCCCAGGTCTGTGGGCACACACTACAGGCTTTCCTGTGAGCAAAGCCGCCGGCCCGGAATGTTTGGAAGCGCAGGTCCTGCAGTTGGTTTGTGGTTCCACTTAAACACAGAACTTGTGCTGTTTACCAGCTCAGAGGGTGCGGAGGTCTAATGCAGCCAGAGGGGATCCTCCACAGCAAGAAAGCCCCGCACCCTGGGGTGTAGGAAGAGGCAGGCCGTATACATGTCTATATGCAGGTTCCTGGAGAAATCAGCACCAGTTCTAAACTGAGCTGAATAAGAGAATCACTCCCTTCACAACAATGACAACCAAATGGGTGTAAAAACTAGATTTTACTGAGACCCTTTTCTGCGTTAGGCACAGAGCAACGCACAAATGTCATCTCAATTACTCCCGTGAACTTGTGAGGGTCACACTATTGTGCTCATTTTACAAATGAGAAAACTGAGGCTCAGAGAGGCTACATGACTTGCCAAGATTACCCAGCTCTTTGTTACTCCTTACTGCTACAACTACTGATAGTTAACATTTAGTGAGCACTATGCGTCAGGCACTGTTCCTAGTAATGTGTTAATTTCCTCCAATCATCTTTATACTTCATCTAGGTGGGTACTAATAGTGTCTCCATTTTACAGATGATGAAACTGCCCAGATAGGTTAAGTAATGTACCCAAGGTCACACAGCTAGAAAGCAATGAGGAAAAAATCTGAGCTCTAACTTATTATATTGTACTGCTTCTCACTAATATATTATAATGAATATGATATTTCAAGTGCACACAACATTCACAGAGGAACTCAATTTGTGGCATTTGGAAAACAGTGTTAGACTGAGAGTCAGAACTTGATTGTGATCTTTCCTTTATATCTGTGCAATTTAGGCCCAGTGCTTAACATCTTCAATTCTGTTTTCTTATCTAGAAAATGGGGGTTGCTATAAAACTAAATGAGATTAATCTTGTAGAGTGCTTTTTTAAGCTATCCATTGGTGTACCCAAGAAAGGGCTACCACCGATTCCAACCAAGAGGGCACTCACGTGTCTTCCCAGCTCTGCTTTGGCACATTTTAGGGAATGGTGGCTCGAATCTCACTGAAATTCTCCTTGCTCCATTTTCTCTCCAGTTTCTTTATTTTAACACTTTCAAATGTCAGCCTTGCCAACTCTGGCCTTATTAAAAGGCTGTGGTCAATAATGTGGGTGCAAGGACATGGAATGAGAGAATAGGTTTGTCCTCAGGCACTGTTTCCACAAAATGTTGCTTTGTGTTTCAGGCATAATAGAAACTACTCCTTAAAGTCCCATTAAGAAGACTCACAGGCTCCTTGAACATCAAATAAGTCTCACAAAACAACATTTTAACTATTTAAGTGTAAATGAATCAGAAACACATGGACTACATTTCTTTTGGAATACACAAGGGTTTTAAAACTGAAGGAGAAAGAACTTGGCGCAAGCCACACTACGCTGTGCAGAGGGGCCCTGCCCATTAAAGACATTCCCTCCATTCACGCTGCAGCTGGACCGCCCTCTCCTAATTTAGGGCACATACAGGGAAATGCAGTCATTTGTCCTGGGCGTGAAGGGGAGAGCTTGGGAGGGAAAGCCATCAGCTTCTCCTTGTAAAGTGTCACAGAGCAATTGAGTGTCCTGGAATGATTTCCTGGTCATGTTTTTTCAAGGCAGCCAATGTTCAATGGGAGATATTTGAAATATGTTCTAAGCTAAAGTTCTTCCAATATACAGCAGAGCTGATGTGTTCTTCCCTGGGGGTGAGCCAAGGCTCTGGTGGAATCTAAGTGAAAACAAGAACGAGGTAGCTCAGGAATGATCTGGGTGGTCTTCAGAGAAGTTTCCCATTGGGTTGACCTACATTGGTGACATTGCCCTGTGCTTTTGATAAAACTCCCTGTGGTGTCATTAATAGATACTGGAGTGGGAGCAATGGAAAACAAGTGGTCTGGAAGTAGGCTCAATATCAGTAGGCTAACTTGTATGTGACCTTGGGCAGGTCACCTAGGTTCTCGACCAGGGGAGGGGGAGGAGAGGCATCAGTTTGTTCCACTGTGAACACATATGAATGTGGGCTTGAGGACTATGGGATGCTATTGCAGTGAAGGTGGTCACATGGATTGCCAATGACCTATAAAACAAGTCAAAGAGTTGAGTGGTCTTCTAACCTTGATAATGGCTTTGTCTGTTGTCATAATAGCATCCCATTAGTCAGGATTCAAACATAGGTATTCAGAACAATAATTTTTAAGAAGATTCAGCTAGTTTCTTAAAAAGTTTCACCAAAAAGTTTAAAATCTGCATACAAAGAACTAACAGTATGTCATTTAGGATCATAAAAGTATAGAATGGCAGATGCAGGCTCAATACCCCCAGGTTACAGTCAGGGTAAGGGACCAGAAAACTTCTACAAAGAGGGTAAATAACACAGCATTCCTACCACTAGAAAGGACTTAGTTTACATGTTCTGCTGAAGTATTTATTATATGCAACTCCTGAGACGGGACCTTCTGGAATTCCATGAATGTGTAAGAAAACGTAAGGAATTTGGGCAATGGGTTTTTGTTGGCAAAGTCTGAAACCCAAGCTTCCTATTGAATATCTAAGAAACTGATAAATAGCCCCAAAGATCACAGCTTAGAATTACAATTTGGGTTATTCAACACATTGACTGACAGTATACCGAAAGCCATCGCTTCAGAGCATATCAGATTATCAGAATCACCTGGGGAATTTAAAAAGTACCAATTCCTGAACTCCATTCCAGATTCAGGAATCTGGGCTCCTAAATCTGTAATTTTAAAAACTCCCAAGATTTCCATGACACAATCTTGACATCTTGGGCATATATAATATAATGGTGCATCTTGTAATTAATGACATTTTGGATTTGATTAAATATCCCTAATATGTGCCAGAAACTTCCACATACATTATTACATGTAATATTTCCATCTTTTTACAGATGATGACACTGAGATTCAGAGATACTAAGTGTGTCAGCAAGAGGATGACCAATATTTAGAGCCCAGGCTTCCTGGCCCCAAATTCAGGACTCTTTACCCTCATTGTCAAATTCCTGATCCTGCCTGTCGACTTTGAACATCCATGAGCCTTGTTGTCATGTGAGTGCAAGATTTCAGGGAAGGAAAAATAGCTTCTACTAAAAAAATAAACTGTTAGGTTTTTTTATGGGCTGAATTGTGTCCTTCCAAAATGCATGTGTTGAAGCCCTAACCCACAGTACCTCAGAATATGACTGTTTAGAAATAGGGTCTTTAAAGAGGTGATTAAGTTAGAATGGGAGTGTTAGGGTGGGACCTAATCTAATATAATTGGTGTCCTTATAAGAAGAGGAGATTAGGGCACAGACAACACAGGAAAAAAACATGAGGAGACGGCAAGAAGACAGACATCAGTGAGCCAAGGAGAGATGCCTTGTTCTTGAATTTCTTTAAACCACCTGCCAACACCTTCAGTTTGAACTTCTAGTCTTCAAAACTGTGAGAAAATAATTTCTGCTGTTTAAGCTGCCCAATCTGCAGTATTTTGTTATGGTAGCTTTAGCAAACTAATACAGGCTCTCTTACAGAAAGTTCTTCCAAAGCATGAAAGACATACCACCCATGGTGTCAAGTTGGTTGCAGGTGCCATATACATGGAATTAATAAACACTGGGTCAGTTAAGATTCTGTTTGGTAGGTAATAAGAGAAACTTTGACTAATGCTGAAATAAAGATAATTTTTTTTCTTTACATAGCAAGAAGTAAGAAGGTAGGTAGTTCTGGGGCAGCTGCTCAACATTGTTTTCTTTGTTTCTGGTCTGCCAGTCTTATGATTTGGGCTTTTATTGTCATGCTTGTCACTTCATGGTTGCAAAATTGCTGTGGTAACTCCAGATGTCATGTCAGTATCTAAGCAGAAAAGAAAAAGGAAGAGGAAAAGGTAGCACTGGAAGACTTTTCTTTATATCTCACAGGCCATAGCTGGGTCCTACAATCACCACTAACTTCAAGGGTTTTACCAACTTATAGAGCGGAAGCAAGCAGTAAAGAAGATGAGCTAGAAATGGGGATTGTATGAGTTGACCCTCAATGTCCATCACCATCATATGCCAAAAAAGTCCTGCCTTTTACATTTCTCCTTCACTCCTGATATTATAAAGAAGAAAGTCTCAAGGTGGTGCCATTATGCCATGAATGCTCTTTTCCCTTTTATGAAGGAAAGGGCAAGTCTCAGGTTCAGTCTTGTGGTGGGAATAGCATTCTGCTAGAATTTAACAATTTTTTAATTAGTTATCTTTATTTTTACATTTATGGCAGTACCATATTTTCAAATATGTAGATTTTAGTTAAATAATCCAGAGCTGACTTATTTATTAATATATTTTTATTGATTTTAGAGAGAAGAAGGAAGAGGGAGGGAGAGAAACATTAATAATGAGAGAGAGTCATTGACTGGCTTCCTCCTGCACACCTCCTGCTGGGATTAGGCCCAAAACCCAGGCACGTGCACTGACCAGGAATTGAATCTCCATCTCCTGGATCACAGGTCGATGCTCAACCACTGAGCTATGCTGGCT